CCACTTGGATTTCCTGCGGTACTTGAACGGGTTGATGTGGAGATGAATCCCTTGCTGAGTGTGAGGCTCATACAATCCCTTGAAGGAAAGTAGATCCAAACCTTTAGTTTGAATCCACAACTCAGTTTGAAGCTCAGATGATCCTTCCAGGGAGAGAAGGTCCGAAAACATCCAGTTTGCAGGATGACTTCCTGCCGAGAGGCAAAGACAAAAATAACACAGTTAAGACTCAGGTTGACAAAACTCAGCTTGGCTAGAGTACCCCAAAATTGGCAAACACGTTGAGGTAGTGGCAGTCAGCAGCTTAAGAGCACTCCATTAACGAGTTAACCCTCCGCAGGTGTGTGAGGAGGCGGACCAGAACCAGGCGCCTCCTGGTGGAGGAAGGGAGACAAACACAAAAACACAAACCACACAGACAGGAATCCTAACACTGTGGTCCGTGCTGGGCTTGATATCACTCCTTCCTGTTCATTACAGCCAGACGTATGATGACATTATACTTTGCTTCATCTGGCAAATTAGCTGGAAATGCATTTAACTCTAATTTTGTGGACATTATAGTGCGCTCAAAATTCATATTAAACAGTTCCTCTCACTGCCGTTGACCATAAAATTGTGAAATTACAATTAGTGTTGTGCAGATGCCATTTTTTTGCCTGATACCTGGCTGTGCAGTATCAGCCGATACCATCTGTTTTTTTTTTGTTCCTTTTTGGTTTTTATTACAGATACCATCTGTTTGAATTTGATGTGTTAGTATATATAGGAAGAACTGCATACTACTTGGATTTAAAATAATTGCCATCATGGCTTTACAAGCTGCTGCCTACCTTTGTGTAGCAGGAAAAAGACTAATACAAAGTGAATCCAGTAGAACTGTTTATTGCCTACCTGGAATGGGAGACAATAGTTGAAGAAACTTTTGGCTCTCAAATGGTATCGGTGCCCTATTTGTTGGTACTCGCCGATACTGATATCACCATTTTCACAAAAGTGAATTAACAGTTCAAAAATGTGCTTAACTGTTCATAAAAGCTCAATTAATGAAATATTTAGCTAAAATGGCACACTACATACAATACCAAAATACGTACCAAACAATAAGATGAAAATGAAAAAAAAAAGTGGAAAATACTTGCTTCGTAAATGTTTTGTGGTCATCAAAATGTTTTAGTGTTATTCTGTTGGCAGAATTTGTCACATTTGGAGAGATTTGGAGACGCTGGTGACACCAAAAGTTTAAATCCCCACAGCTCTGGAACTATTATAACTAGATGTCTGAAATGTTCCGCAGTTGTGATTGACATGATGTAGAACAAATTTGATATAATGAGACCTGCATATCCTCAAGCATATCTTTATTACTGCTGTTAAAAAAAAATGCCTATTATTTTCTAGAAGAAAAATACAACTTTGAGTGATGTTTGAACTGATGCAGTTTTGGCTGTTCTTTAGTCACACTATTTTCATTTATATTATCAGAACCCAGACGGTGTTGGCTTTCAAATAATGTAATACACAAGTAATTTGGGCTTACAGTTCCTCAGTTATTAGTTTTTCCATTTTGGTATGCAAAATAGGCGAGGATTACCCAAAATTAGGTGGGGTTTAATGGAACATATTCTGCCAAAAATCCAGGCAGCCATTTAGGTTTCAGTGTTACGGTTTATGGTGGGACAACTAGCTGGGGCGAAAGCAAATGCCGCCAAAGTCATGTCCGAACTGGAAAAAGAAACATGGTGGCGCAGAAGGACGTAGGTATCAAATCTATTTGTCAGAATCCATGATTGCTTTTTAAATGACAAACAGCAAGAGTTTTACAAGCACAAGTTGTGGTTCCCCATGGCATCTGCTTCTGTTTCATTTGTAACATTAAAATCAATCTTTACAAGGCCAGCACTAGATGTTCTTGTCCAAATTATTGTTGTAATATCTGCTGAACGCCCCTCCTTTCTCTGAACCGATTCGACCAGATGAGTGCTTTATAAATGCATTTCATGATGTCTGCTGATGCAGCCGCTTCTTGTGGACTAACATGTCTGCCTCTCTTCAGGACGCACCACTCTGGGATATGGTGCAGTGGACATCAACATCCAGGGCCCTGGGGTGGCAGCCCAGCACTGTTACATAGAGAACAAGTCGGGGATCATCACTCTGCACCCTTCTGGGAACCTCTGCGCTGTAGATGGACTCCAGGTTCAACAGCCAATCCGTCTATCACAAGGTAGGAGTCTTTCCGTCTGATGCTCATGCAGTCTGACCCATCGGCTCCACCTGGTGGTAGAAATGCTGAATCCAAAGAAAGGCCAATTCATTTGCTGTGTCTAACATGATAGGTAAGGCAAGGCAAGGCAAATTTATTTGTATAGCACAATTCAGTACAAAAACTATGCAAAGTGCTTTACATGATTAAATATAGGCAACAAAACAGAATCAGAGCAAGTAGAAGAAAGAAATGCAGAAACAAGAAAGAACATTAAAAGCAGTTGGACTAAAGAAAATTAAAAAAAATGAACTAATGATGTTTCAGTTGAACTTTTTAACTAGAAGAGTCGAAGGCAATCCTAAAAAAAATGTGTTTTTAGTCTTGATTTAAAGGGACTCAGGCTTTCCGCATGATAGGAATGGTTCTTAATCATGCCCAGAAGTTTGGGCGAGGATTGTTCATCATGCCTGATTACTAACCTGGACAGGTTTGTGCTTGAATTGAATAACATCTATTTATGTCTAGAAGGCAGAAACGGAATCTGCATAAAGCGTCTGGCCAGGGGCGATCCTAGCATCAGAGGTTTAGGGGTGCTGAGCACCCAAAGAGCTGTCTGGCCAGACAGGATTCATTTCACTGTCTTCTGAAACGTGCTCAGTGCGTTTTGCTAATGACTGACTC